CACGCTCCCTCACGCGCCTCCCGAAGCCGCGCCACCTTCTCCCGTTCCGCCGCGCGTGGCGGCGCGTCTCGCCGTCGTCCAGGCCACCGATCTTTGCGCCGGCATCGCCTCCTTCTCCTCTCTCTGGATCTGTCCTCGATGCTCCAATCGGACCTCTTTGGTGTTTTAGGGTTTTTCTCTCTCTTCCTCCATGGCATCTTCCGCTGCCACTTCCAATTCTGAAGTTACCTCTGTTAGCTCCGGTGGGTCTGAGCAATCTGTTTTTACTAATTATGTCAATGTGAATTTACCCATTGATAAATTAGATGGTACGAATTATGCAACTTGGGCATCTGATATTAGACTTTGGCTTGAGAGTCAGGGGTACGTTGATCATCTTACTACCAAGGTAGATGATGTTCCTTCCAATGATCGTGTCCGTTGGAAGAAAGTTGATGCTCATATATGTATGGTTCTCAAGAATACCATCCAATCTTCTTTAAAACAAATTTTTCGATCGTATAGCACATGTTATGATGTTTGGGAACAAGCCAAATTATTATACACCAATGACACTCAACATCTTTATGGTGTTTGTTACAATCTTCTTGATGTTATTGCTCCTCGAGATAAGGATCCTGTGGCGGATTATGTGGGTAAGATCCATGCTCTCCTCCATGAATTTAATGAGTTATTACCCCCTGCCTCGACTCCTGCCCAAGAATTAGAGCAACGATCAAAGTTTTTCATGGTTTTGATGTTACACGGACTTGCTCGATAAATATGCCCTCGTTCGTGACCGCATTTTGGGTTCCCCTGTTACACCCAGCTTTACCGCTACCAGTTCCTCCCTTTTGCGGGTGCCATGTAAACCTCTCAATATTCCCCTTGTAGTTTCTAATGATTCATCTCGCCTTGGCCTCTCACCGTGATGATCGTAATCGCTCTCACAAGCTAGGCAAAGGGCGTGTCAAGTGTGACCATTGTGGCAAACTAGGCCACAAAATTGATAAATGTTATGCTTTACATGGTTATCCTCGCCGATCTGCTGCAGTTGCTCGGGCTCGATTCTTCCGCACAATCCTCTCCTGTGGATCCTCCTTCGTCTGTACCTTCGGACAAATCTGCTATCTTCAATGATTTTCTTCAATGGTATGAGGATCGAAAGCCCTCCAGTTCCACTACTTCATTGCCCACACAGGTACATCTTTTGCTGGTCTGACTCACTCTTCTTCTATTGGCTCTTGGGTTCTTGACTCAGGCGTCACCGATCACATCACTGGTAACAAATCCTTATTTTCCTCTTTCACTTCTTCTCATAATTTACCCTCTGTTACAATGGCTAATGGATCTACAACTTTAGCTCATGGTGTTGGAACGGTTACTCTTTTTCCCTCGTTGTCCATTGATAATGTTTTGTATGTACCCGGGTCCCCCTTTAACTTATTATCCATTAGCCATCTAACTCGATCTCTTGATTGTGTTATCTCTTTTACCAAAACTTCTGTTTCCTTATAGGACCGGAGCTCACAAAGAGTGATTGGCACCAGATGTGAGTCACATGGACTTTATTATCTTCAACCTTCTCCACATGTTGGCACAGTTATGGAGTCTCCTTCTCTCCTTCATGCTCAGCTTGGTCACCCCAGTCTGCGCAAATTACAACAACTTGTTCCCAGCTTATCCCAGTTGTCCAGTTTGGTGTGAGTCCTGTCAATTAGGCAAACATAGTCGTACTTCCTTTTCTCGTAGTGTTTCCCAGCATGCTTCATCTCCCTTTGCCTTAGTTCACTCTGACATTTGGGGACCCAATCGTGTTAAGTCTAATTTAGGTTTTCAATATTTTGTTACTTTTATTGATGATTTCTCTCGTTGTACTTGGTTATTTTTAATGAAAAATCGTTCTGAGGTGTTTTCTATATTCCAAAACTTTTATCATGAAATTAAAAATCAATTTGGTGTCTCTATTCAAACTTTTCGAAGTGATAATGGCCGTGAATATCTTTCAAACTCGTTTAAACAATTTATGACTTCTCATGGCATTCTTCATCAAACTTCTTGTGCTTATACCCCTCAACAAAATGGGGTGACTGAGCGCAAGAATAGACACCTTATTGAAACAACCCGTACTCTTTTAATTCATGGTGCGGTTCCTCAACATTTTTGGGGTGATGTTGTTCTTACTGCCTGTTATCTTATTAATCGTATGCCCTCTTCGGTTTTAGATAACAAAATTCCCCATTCTATTTTATTTCCTCATGACACTCTCCATCCTTTACCTCTGAAGGTTTTTGGGTCTACCTGTTTTGTCCACAATTTTGATCCTGGTCATGATAAGTTATCTCCTCGATCACACAAATGTGTTTTCTTAGGATTTACTCGATCCCAAAAAGGATACAAGTGTTTTTCTCCTTCTCTTAATCGCTATTTTGTGTCTGCCGATGTCACCTTCAATGAGTTTTCCTTTTACTTTAAGGACCCTTCCCTACCTGCTGAGTCTCCATCTGCTACAGTTCCCATTCATGTTCTCATTGATCCTTATGTTGAGGACCATCCACCATTAGCCCCTCCTCCTCCACCACCCCTTCAGGTTTATAGTCGCAGACCTCGCCCACAACAGACGCCACATGACTCACTCCCAGTGCCAAATACTCGCCTCCTCCGGTTCAGTCCACGAGTCCGACCTTCCTATTGCCCTTCATAAAGGTACGCATTCTACTCGTAATCCTTCTCCACATTATACTCGCTATTAGTTATCATCGAATTTCTTCACCATTTTATACCTGTCTCTCGTCTATTTCTTCTGTGTCTATTCCTAAATCTGTCTCTCGAAGCCTTAGCCCACCCTGGTTGGCGTCAGGCCATGCTAGATGAACTCGGTGCTCTTCGGACTAGTGGAACCCGGACGCTTGTCCCATTACCATCTGGAAAATCTGTTGTTGGTTGCAGGTGGGTCTTCGCTATCAAGGTTGGTCCTGATGGTACTATTGATCGCCTCAAAGCTCGCCTTGTAGCCAAAGGCTATACCCAAATTTTTGGGTTGGATTATGGTGATACTTTCTCTCCAGTGGCAAAGATGGCTTCTGTTCGTTTATTCATTGTCATGGCTGCTATTCAACAATGGCCTCTTTATCAACTGGATGTCAAAAATGCTTTCTTGAATGGCGATTTGCAAGAAGAGATTTATATGGAGCAACCTCCCGGATTTGTTGCTCAGGGGGAGTCTTCTGGATTGGTATGTCGTCTTCGCAAATCTTTATATGGCCTAAAACAGTCTCCTAGGGCCTGGTTTGGCAAATTTAGCAGCGTTGTTCAACAATTTGGCATGACTAGAAGTGAGGCAGACCACTCAGTCTTTTACCGTCACTCGAATGCTGGATGTATCTATTTGATAGTGTATGTCGATGACATTGTTCTTACAGGTAGTGACCATCATGGCATCTCTCAGATGAAACAACACCTTTGCCACCATTTTCAAACCAAAGATCTTGGCAAACTCAGATATTTCTTGGGTATTGAGGTAGCACAATCTACCAGATGACATTGTTATATCTCAAAGAAAGTATGCATTGGATATTTTGGAGGAAACTGGGTTGATGAATTCAAAGCCTCGTTGACACACCCATGGATCCTAATACCAAACTCTTGCCAAATCGGGGGAGCCAATGTCAGATCCTCGAACAAGTATAGAAGATTAGTTGGAAAATTAAATTATCTTACGAGTTACTCGCCCGACATTTCCTTTGCAAGTCGAGTGTGGTGAGTCAATTCCTCAATTCTCCTTGTCAAGATCATTGGAATGCAGTCATTCGTATATTGAAGTACATCAAAAAGTCTCCTGGAAAAGGTTTGGTGTATGACTCCCATAATCATACAAGAGTTGTCTCGCTATTCGGATGTCGATTGGGCAGGATCTCCCTCCGATAGAAGATCTACATCTGGGTATTGTGTTTCCATTGGTGGTAACTTGATCTCATGAAAAAGTAAGAAACAAAGTGTTGTGGCAAGATCCAGTGCAGAAGCGAGTATAGAGCTATGGCCTCAGCTACCTGTGAACTTATTTGGCTCAAGCAATTGCTTAAAGAGCTACAATTTGGAGATGTCACTCAAATGACACTAGTGTGTGACAATCGAGCTGCTCTCCATATAAGCTCTAATCCTGTCTTTCATGAGAGGACTAAACACATTAAGATTGACTGCCATTTTATTCGAGAAAAGATTATGTCTGGAGACATCAAGACCGAGTTCGTTAACTCATGTGATCAATTAGCAGATATTTTCACTAAGTCTTTACGGGGACCTAGGATAGATTATCTTTGTACCAAGCTAGGCACATACGATTTGTATGCTCCAGCTTGAGGGGGAGTGTTAGATATGATTAGATATTAGTTGATATTGTTTGATATTGTTGAGATATTGTTAGATATTGTTAATCACAATATCAAATAATATCTTTTATTTATCCTATTTGTATTCTGTTACTCTTTTAAGGAGTATCTTTTTTTATTATAAATACACTATCCTATGTGTGGAAAATACACAAGGGAAATTAATCCTATACAGTTTTTCCCTATATTCAACTTATAATCACTTAGACTATCAACAACATAATTATTAGAAAAAAAAAATATGCATATTTAATTTATAAAAGTTTAAAGCGCAGACTAAACCTTAAATAGTAAATAATAACCATCACCAACAAGAGGTTTGTGATGTATAAACACTTCATCAATTAAGCCAACAAAGAGGTGTGCAGAAAGGAAATATATATACAGATTTCGATTAGATAAAACATTTTTTCATCAGGTTCATTTCATGTTATTTTCCATTTTCTATACCCTTCTGACAAGCTAGAGTCAAAACTTTGGGGGCAGAAAATTGTAGAATAAATGTCAGTGTATTAATACATTACATGTTTTGTTAAGACAACTCCTACCTTACCAAAGGAACTTTAAAGCAAAAATAATCATTAAGCTAGTGGGAGAAAAACTATCCTATCCCTTTTCATATGACAGGCAGATTTAGTTTATTCTCTTCTCAATGCCTCTCTGTTTGGCTGAAATATCGATCGGTATTGAGCGGTTGGTTCCAACCGCTATAATCATGAGAGTCAGACGCAGATCCTTCATGCATGGGTGCAAATGCTGCAATGAAGTAAATAGTGATGGATGATAACTGAACTTTTTATATATAAAGAGAAAAATACTGAAAAAAATTAAATCTAACAGCCAACAGAACAAATTGCTAACTAACGCAGAAGATAGTTTTGAGATTTTCATGCATCACAAGTCATTTCTAACCATATTTAAATAAGTGATTTGAAAAATAATTTTATTCATACCAATTGCTTGATTTATATTTTGAAGACTTAGGATTTGCATCATATAAAGGGGCGAAATAGGTTTTAAACATACTGATATTAATGCTACGTATCAACATAAAAATCTATTATATATTGTGGTCTTCACTTAAATTGTCCTCTAGTACAAAATTTGATGCAAATGACATGATTGTTTAAAAAAAAAAGAAATTTATAGCAAACTATTTTTGGCCTCTAAAATACTATTGAAAATTTAAAATGATAATATCGGGAAAGACAGATTTAAGCATATTTACAGAGATAATTTCTCTCATATTGACAAACTTCTCTTACAATAAAGGCTAACTAGAACAAAGCATAGAACAACTAGCAGAAACTCAATTGTACTGGCTGTAAATAGGAGTCAAGCTGCTTATGAGATACTTTTGTCTTCCACTAGATTCAATTTATGATTGGCACTATGATGAAATCTAAAGTACCAGTGTTATTATGTAATGCATTGCCCATTTTAAAGAATTTCACAAAAATAATACATTGAGAAAAGCTGTATACTGGGATTACTAAAATTCATGGTGGAGTATAACCAGCTAGAAACAAACCTTTCTCTCGCATTCTTCTCTCTCTGTCATACTCAAATTTATCCCGAAGAAGACTAACTTTCTCCAAGTTATCAGGTTGCCTGTTTCTCCCAAAATTCTGGTCCTGCATTCGAATCCAATCATTAGAGAGATAGTGTCACAAAATTATAGTAAACAAGATTTCAGTATTAATGATTACAACTATCTCAAACAAATAGATCTAACATGGGAGGAGTGAGTTACAGTCATACTAACAATATGAAAATTAAATGATGCAAAAGATAATTAACGTGCGAACCCAATCATCAAAGAGATAGTATCACAAAATTATAGTAAACAATATATCAGTCTAACTGATTACACCTATCCCAAACAAAAGTAGACCTAAAATGGGAATAGGAGTTAGTTAGATTCAAGGTTATGAGACTCAATAATCTATGTAAACTTGTGGAAACTCCATAAACTCTGACCCGTATCATACGAGTCTACTTCATGTGTCAATTTAACATTTGAACACCATAGACACTGTGAAGACAGGAGAGAACAGTGTCCAATTTGGAGAACGCAGGAGATGCTGTGTCGAGAACAGCAAGAGATGCATAACCTAGATACTGTGATGTGGACATGACGTATGACAAGGGTTAGGGTAAGGAAAGTAAAGGAAGCTCTTCAATAAGTATTGTTGGTTGACCAAATTGTGTTTTGGATTAATCAATTAATAGGCTTTAGTTTGGTTTTATTGCAAGTTGTAATAAAGGCCCAATTGGAAACTTAGTCAGTCTTTGGGAGACCAAAAAAGTGCATAGCTAATTAACTTTTGGTTGCTATAATTTCAGTTACAATCAGTCATTAAGTAGTATCAATTCCTAGGTTAATGGATCATTATCAACCTTTATTTTCCTTTATTGAATATTTGTAATTCTGATGGCAAAACATCTATATAGGCTGAACCATATTTTTATCAAATATAACAAGTTGAATTTTATTTAAAAATATTAGAGTTTAACTCTTTTATCTTGGTGAGAGTGATTCTCCTAAGTTCTTGAGTGATTCAGAAACCCTTGGTTGTATCAAAGGACTTTCACATCCTTTGTGAGTTGCCTTCCTTGGGAAGAGTGATTCTTTCCCTTATCACTAAATTCCTAAATTTCCTACAAGGTTCTAACCTTAAAGATCCTAAATCACCCCTTGTGCAATTGAGATTGGTATTCAGAGCCCCAGTTTAAGGATTTGAATATTAAATTGATGGCAGAGGAGGATAAAAAGAAAATGAGAGAAAAAAAATTTCAAGAGAAAAAAGAAAAAGAAAGTGTTAGTGAAACACTTGAGAAAAAAAGAGTGATCAAAAGAAGAGTGAAACACTTGAAGTGAGAGAGAGCTATTTAGCCACAAAAAGTGAATATAATGTTAGTTCTACATTCAATTTGTTAGACTTATCTCTTTTCTATGTAGATGATGAACCCGATTTGAGGACAAATCTTTTTCAAGAGGAAGAGAATGATGTGGACAAGACCTATGACAAGGGTTAGGGCAAGGGAAGCAAAGGAAACTCTTCAATAAGTATTGTTGGTTGACCAAATTGTGTTTTGGATTAATCAATTAATGGGCTTTAGTTTGATTTTATTACAAGTTGTAATAAGGACCCAATTGGAAACTTAGTCATCAGTCTTCGGGGGACCAAGAAGGTGCATAGCTAATTAACTTTTAGTTGTCACAATTTCAGTTACAATCAGTCATTAAGTAGTATCAATTCCTAGGTTAATGGATCATTATTATCCTTTATTTGTCTCAATTAAGTATTTTTCAATTCCTAGGTTAATGAATCATTATTAACATTTATTTTCCTTTATTGAATATTTGTAATTCTAATGGCAAAACTTCTATATAGGCTGAACCATATTTTTATCAAATATAACAAGTTGAATTTTATTTAAAAATATTAGAGTTTAACTATTTTATCTTGGTGAGAGTGATTCTCCTAAGTTCTTGAGTGATTCAGGAACCATTGGCTGTATCAAAGGACTTTCACATCCTTTGTGAGTTGCCTCCCTTGGGAAGAGTGATTCTTTCCTTCCACCTTATCACTAAATTCCTAAATTTCCTACAAGGTTCTAACCCTAAAGATCTTAAATCACCCCTTGTGCAATTGAGATTCATATCAGTTGGTATTCAGAGCTCAGGTTTAAGGGTTTGAACATCAAATTGATGGCAGAGGAGGAGACACTTTTTTTTCAAGAGAAGAGAAAAAAAGAAAGCGTTAGTGAAACACTTGAGAAGAAAAATAGTGATCAAAAGAAAGTGAAACACTTGAAGTGAGAAAGAGCTATTTAGCCACAAAAAGTAGGTATAATGTTAGTTCTACATTCAATTTTTCAGACTTATCTCTTTTTTATGTAGATGATAAATTCGATTTAAGGACAAATCCTTTTCAAGAGGGAGAGAATGATGTGGACATGACCTATAACAAGGGCTAGGGCAAGAGAAGCAAAAGAAGTTCTTCAACAAGTATTATTGGTTGACCAAATTGTGTTTTGGATTAATCAATTAATGGGTTTTAGTTTGGTTTTATTGTAAGTTGTAATAAGGGTCCAATTGGAAACTTAGTCATCAGTCTTTGGGAGACCAAGAGGGTGCATAGCTAATTGACTTTTGGTTGCCACAATTTCAGTTATAATCAGTCATTAAATAGTATCAATTCCTAGGTTAATGGATCATTATTAACCTTTATTTGTCTTAATTCCTAGGTTAATGAATCATTATTAGCATTTATTTTCCTTTATTGAATATTTGTAATTCTGATGGCAAAGCATCTATATAGGCTGAACCATATTTTTATCAAATATAACAAGTTGAATTTTATTTAAAAATATTAGAGTTTAACTTTTTTATCTTGGTGTGAGTGATTCTCATAAATTCTTGAGTGATTCAAAAACCCTTGGTTGTATCAAAGGACTTTCACATCCTTTGTGAGTTATCTTTCTTGGGAAGAGTGATTATTTCCTTCTATCTTATCACTAAATTCCTAAATTTCTTACAAGGTTCTAACCCTAAAGATCCTAAATCACCCCTTGTGCAATTAAAATTCATATCACATTGTCCGATCAGGTGGCAAATGCAAAGCTAGAGAAGAAGATGCACATAGGCGAGACAAAGTTGGGGAAGTAGACGCCACAAGAAGACTCAAAAGTGGAAGAAAAATACTGTACAACAAGGAGAAATGAATTGGTAGAAGACATGCACCGTTTTAGGTAAACCAGGACTAGCTAACCCTACGAACCCAACGGAAAACTCGTAAGTCTAACTGAGTCAACACAAGTTCACTCTAAAAACAGGTTTACTCACAAATTAACTCATGGCCACTATCTAACTTGCAAACTCATCCGAGTTAGTGAATTAACTTGTTAACTTGTGAGTTTGATAATTAAAGGCAATTAGTAACAATATGAAAATAAAATAATGCAGAAGATATTACTGTGCCTTGAGATTATTAGGGGAATTTTTTCCAGTTGACACCATAAAAATGGCTTCAGTATCATTCCTTACAAACTGTATAACCTTACCAAACAGGAACAAATTTATAATTTATATCAATCCTTTCCCATTCTGAATAATGTGAAATAAAATCCCTCAACTCTCATATAGGGCTTCTTGAGTTAAAATCCCGACAGTCAGAGACAAAACTTTGATATGGGAAAAAGATTACTTTTTTTAATTTAATACAAAATGGCAAGATACAATTTATTTCTGATAGCACTTTATTCTGCAGAGCTCACTGATGGAACAATATCCTTAGAATCGAAGATATATATTTCATGACAAGCAAAAGCAAGACAAAAAGACTGCTATATTATATTTAAATCATTGTACCTTACTATGCTCCATTTGAGGCTGAGATCTTCTACTCCTGAAATGCCATATGAAAAAACATTGATATTAGACACCATCCCCCATCATTTGTTTGGTTCAACGCAATGAGGGTGGGGGGATTAATTAGACATTATGCTTGATTGATAGAAGTGGACGTAGCCCTTTTCTTCTTTGATTCACAAGGGGAGGGGAGGAATTTAAAAGTTAATTTACCTTCTTATTCTAATAATTTTGGATGTCAGAAAATAAATAGGATTATCTTTATTAATAAACTTGAAATGTTTTAAATCACCTCCTCTCCCCGTCCAAATCCCAAAAATAAAAAGGGGAGCAAAAATTGGATGAGGATTTTTGTTTCCTTCCATTCCCCTTCCTTCTCCTCCATTTCCCACCAACCAAACAATATGTTAATTACTGAAGAACTTTGAACCATTAATCTGATTGGCCACAGAAAATAGTGTGACATAGAGGTTGTTACAACATGATGCCCAACTACTGAATAATGACACCAACAAAAAATTTTGGAACAGAAAATTCAGAACCATAATAATATTTAGCTAACACAGAAGAGACTCTAAAGAATAATTGTTTGGGTAAAACTCAACAAGATGACCACGTTAGTCATCAAATTCATGCATGTGACAGTACAAGCAATATCATTTTCCCAAGACAAAAGCAGTTACAGGCCTTAGCAAGAAAAGAAAAATGAAAGAATCAATAATGAGGCAAACCTGTATGGGGAGAAATCCCTATCATCGTCTTCAGCAGACTCATAGTTTGCATGATCCTGAGCAAGCTTTTTAGAGTAACCTTCATCCCAATAAAGCCTCTCCCAGTTTTCTCTAAGTTCATTATACAGCTCAATATACCTTTTGCACCAAGGATCATGCTCCTTTCAATACAAGACAGGCATTTTAGAAAAAAATATATATATGATTTTGAATTTCACATTTTTTTTATTCATAAAATATCATAAGCTGGCAACTACAAGTCAGTAATGCAACAGAAATATAATATCCATCACATTTTCACTCACATTGACTGAGACAGAAACCATGTAATGTAACTATGTATAATGAAAATCCAAACTGCAAACACAAATACAATGGCAGAATAATGTCTTAAGTTTAAATACTCCTTAACAAGATTCATTTTCACTTTTTGGGTTTTAAAAACTATTTTCCAAGATAATGTCACTCTACTTAGTAATCAAATTGTTTTCAAAAGCAGTAAACAAAATAATAGAAACAAGTATTTTCTCATCTTTGGTCTGATTTCATCGAATACAACGTCTCCCTCCACTATCTAGCAATCTTGTTTAGTTTCATTTCAAAAACTACACAACAGTTTTCGAATGTAAAATTCAAATACACTCTAAAACTACATTTTTTAAGTGTTAAGGTTTTAAAACAACACTGATTTGGGCTTCAACATCAAGACTTTTGGAGTCTCCACAACCACAAACTACAACACATCTGTCCACAATGACAGAATTGCGACCAAAGCTGAGACTACAATTTAAAACTTTGGTACGAACTAAAAAACTTACAAAGACTAAAACACAAAAAAGTAGCAAAACCTTGGTCTTACTCTCTACTTGGAGAGTCAATCCATAAGAAAACACACTCTGCCTATATCCTATGCTGCACAACTCTTCTCAACAAAACTATATTATCCCAAACTAAATATAATTATAAAATAAATAAATAACAGGAAATTAAGAAGAAAGAGTAAGAGACTAACGGATTCCTTAAGAACGAGGCGTGTTCGGCGCATGAATTGTTCTCTGAGCTGCTTGCGGCGCTTGTTGGGGATGTTTTCTCGGGGGATCACGAAGCGCTCACGTGGCGGCACGTGGTCGCCGATCTCGTGCATTTCGCCGTCCACCGCCCACCACTCCGACCGCTCCTCCGTCTTCCTCAACGCCACCGGCGGCGACTTTGGCCGTGTTCTGGCATACCGAAGCTGCTCGAGGAGAAACGGCGTCGTCAGGGGCCGAAGCGGGAATCGTTTCGCGACCGAGAGCATCGAACCAAACAGCTAGGTTCTTTTGCTTGCTTTGTTGTTTTTAATATTTTCATATATCCACTACTCAACATAACTAACAACCCTCATTATATATATATCATTCAAAAATTTAATTAAGTTTTTCAATTAATATAAATTTTTCATTTCAGAAACTAAATTCATATTAACTTTAAATTCCAAAACTTAATTAAACAAATTAATAATATATGAATAAATTGTATAACTATATGAATCAAATTATAAAATAAAAAAATAAGGAAAAATTATATAATTAATTGTTTATGAAAATGTTTGCATTTCTTTAATGTAATGTAGAGATAATATTTTTAAAAATACAATTCAAAGCATTTATAATTTTATAAACACAATAATATTTGTCAATGGGTTGGTTTTCTTAGCATTAGATTAATTTCTTAAAAATATGTTACCTGTTATTGGAAGAGAGAATTACAAAATATGTCAATTTTGTTTAATCTTCATGCAGTACATTCTACCTACATATTTGGGAAAAGGAACTCATATTTTATTACAATTAAAATTTATTTATTTTTAAATAAATATTCCCTTTTATTTTAAAATATTACACAAACCAATATAAATATTAATAATTATCATTTTTAACAAATTTATTAATTAATTTTTATTAATATATTTATTATTTTATTATTTTCTCAAATTAAAATATTTTTAAATAATTAATTTTTTATTAATATAATTAAAAGATAAAAATATAATTAATAAACAAATAGTTATTACAATCTTGAACTTTATAAAATAGTAATATATTTTAAGATAAAAGGAGTAATTATAATATTTTTATCATAATTTTCATAAATTCATGCAATTTTTAAAAAAAATAATTATTTTATATCATTATTAATAAAAATTATGAGATATAATTTTAAAATATTACTATAATAGTTAATATAATTTTAATTAAGACAAACTTATCATTGCATTATAATTAAATTCATTTATAATTAGAATTTAATTCCATTATACCAATAATATAATTTTATACTTTTATCTATGTGTAAATTACTGTGTATAAATTATTTTTAACTTATACTCTATTGTAACTTTTAACGCTAATAATATATTAATTCATTTTGTCTACGTATCTTCCTGATTCTTATTTACTGGAGGTATTGTTTTTTATATTCTAATCCATTATAATTTTATTATAAATATATAAATATATATATATATATATATATATATATAAATTATTATCCATCTCAATTCTTAAATTATACACAATATGATATAAAATTAATAAAATAAAAAAGAAATTAAAAATACTTTTAAAAAAGTAATTACAAAAACTGTGAACACAAATTATGATAAGAATAATTGGGGTTGTATGCAAGGTAGGAAATTGGAAAAAAAAACTCTAAATAAGAGTTTCCAAAGTTTTAAAAAAAAAAAGTAAACATTTTTGCAATCAGGATAAATGATTTCTTCCAACAACTGCAAATCTTTCATTCACTACTTTCTTCCAACCTTTTTCTCTTTCGTTTGGATGTTGGTGGACTGCACAAAAATATAATATCAGCATTGCTAAGGGTAAAAATCTCATAAAAGCACAAGTGTTAAAATCTCAAAAAGCAGTTAATAATATTTCCTCACAAATGGAAAAACTCAGCTACATCACAGAGATTGGTCAAAGATCATAAAACATTTAGAGATCGGTCAACTACATGTTCCAAACCTACCATGGTTCCACTAATCTTCACATGCATAACCATTTTTTATTCTTATGAATCAAGACCTTAAAGAGTGATTATAAATTTTTACTTTAAAAAATAATAAAATAATGGTAGAATACACAATAGTATAGTAACTATTAATAGTAAGATTGTCTTTCTGTGAACTTATTACAATAAAAAACAAATATTACAAATTATTAATAAATAAAATAATAATTCTTAAAAAAGACTAATTTTTATCTATTTGTTAGAATTAGATAGCCTTTATAACAATTTTGTTCCACGTTGTAAAGTTTGAAGCACATAATAAGCGTTAGACAAATAACTTTTTTCAAATTATATACTTAAAAATATAATCCTTCAAAAAAAATTAAATGTAGCAAGTAATGAAATGAAGATTAAAGAGAAAATATTAATTAACAGTAATAGACAAATATAATTTTCAACATTGGATTTATACAATTAAACATTTCATCTTCATTAATTTTAATATAATTATATTTGATATGTTATTATATATTTTATGCCATGGTCCATAACAAATATCCACATGACACATAGTTAGAAACTATTAATTCTTTCTCATCAAATGAAAATCTCGATCATATGTCATGTAAATATTGGTCAGGACCATGTACATGTTCTGGTCAGAAACACTGATAGTTTCTCTTATTTTATCGACAACAACTTGAATAGTTCATGTTACCATGGAGACACTTATATTTGAAGATTTCTCATAAATATAAATAAGATTGGTAAACATACCTTTTAAGTAATGTTTGTATATCAGCACCAAGACTTGTGCTTAGCTCGTCAATATTTGCATCAACCTCATTGTTAAAATTCAATAAGTTGCAAGCATCGAAAAGCGCAGTAGAATTCACTGTATTGGAGATAATTGATGAATCCTTTATCTGTGACTTGAGATGTACCATCAAAATAAGTGCTGCATAGAGATTTCTTGGAAGTTAGTAAATGAAAGTGATTAGAAACCATATCTTATTCTCTAACATTAGTGCAAGAAGTAGATTCATTATTATGCTCCTAGTAGTAGGAATTTCAATTAATTTGCAACTACTACAGTGAAATTCAATTCAGTTCGAAATTTCAGAAATCCAAACCAGTGGTGCAGATAATCTAAGTATGACAGTAATTTGATGACATTTCATTGTATGCATACAACAGTACGGACTCAACAACCAATGACAGGCTGATGTCCTTTTATGATTTCAATGGATGAAAAGAAGTAACGAACATCCTAAAATCTTGATGAAATTAAATACTTGAATTCTTCTTGCAAGAAAAGAATGTCAGAGCAATCCAGTCCCTTTATAAAAGTTAACATTATAAGTAATACCTGTAGAACCCTGCCTCACCATTAATATTAACATTATACAAGAAAACAACAATAAAAGGAGACATAAGTAATCAATGAACATTATGCATATGAGATTTGAAAGGTATGCATATGAGCCAAGAAAAAAAGAGCCATAGAGCATACCAATGGCTCGAATCATTTTGAGGTTGAATTTTTTAGCCATCTCCTTACAACCTATCATTTTTGCACGCTGAATGATCAACAATTTCAAGCTAATCAGCACGTCCTGAAAAGTTTGAAATTTTCGTCATCAAAAGTTAAGCTCTTACAACAGAAATAAAACTTAAATCTTAAATGTGAAGGGGACATTCAAATTCAAGAAACACAGATAACCCAACTAAACATGACTAACCAGGTCTACTTGAAACTAGATTTACACATATAACTTGGTCTAAGACAGACTCGATTACATTTCCATTCATTAATGAACTAGATAGTCCGATTATTTTGATTTCATAAGCTTAAATTATTCTAAAAAAAGTAGTTTTATTAAGGAGAATGGTAAAAGTACAATGGGAGTGGACTGGGGGAATAACATATCTATATCCCACGAGAAAAAAGGTTAATTTCATTTTTGGTCCCCCAAATACCGCAATTGTGCAATTTTAATCCCTAAGGTTTCAACTGTATGTGTGATTTTAGTCTTCTAGGTTCTAATTGTGTCAATCAAGTCCCCAAGTATCATAATTGTGAGATTTTAGTCTCCCAAACATACCATAAGGCATTGTGACATTATCAAATTCCAATCAAAGATGGAACTAAAATCTCAAATTCGTGATACTTGGAAGATCAAATTGGCACAAATAAAATCTGAAAGAATAAAATCAAATAACTGTGATACATGAAAAACCGAAAGTGCTATTAAGCTCAAGATAAATGCAGAGCATAAAATGAATATTAAAACAGGTAGCAAGACTGTTTAATCTCCAGATCATAGCGAAGAAATAACTAGCACCAAAGAGAATCCATTCTTTCCCAATAAAATGGCAAATCTGAATCCTAAAAAGTTACAACCATTTGTCTCCGATCAAACAGGTATGTAAAGATAGCATAAGGTACAAAAAAGTTATGCCTTCATCTTGTTAACTCCACGGTTCAAATGAACAAGTGAAATGAAGGGACATACCTAATATACATCAAACATGCAAAACTCTTGTTCCAAAGGAAAGTAGCTACAACAAAAATAACACTACGACATTATGCAAAGGAGAGGACTTGATATTTTTGTTAATTAATACACTTGAACCTTAACATTTATTTTATTACTCTTTGTATAATAATTCATTTTGTTTTTGACATCTTATCTTCATCCCTTTTGTAAATTCACTCTGTATATCTTCTCTTGCAATATTATAGTTCTATAAAAAAAATGCTCTCAAGAGTGCGATCTCGCATACTCTGTAATCTCTGAACAAGATTTCTGGTATCGAAGTTTTTACCAAAAACACTATAGTAATATTATCTAAAGCAACCAACCTAGAAAATCTAGAAACAAAGAAAACAATGATAAAATGTGATCCATTAAGTTAATGAACACACAAAGAGACTTACAATTTCAGACTCCGAAAGGGAGCAAAGCCACGCAATATCTTCAATCCTAGTTTCACAATTTTTATCCGGCTCAACAACATGCTTCAATCTTTTCTTCAAGTATCTTCCCTTCATAGGATCAAACTGATAATTATAAGATATGAACTCCTGTTAAAATTGTAATTAAATAAAACAAAATTTAGTTGAAAAATAGACGAAAAACAGTGTTTTTCTAACAAAATAACAAAAGTGAATATTAGCAAGTAAAAGTAAAATATATATCTAACTATCCTATGCCCAAAAACACAACCAAGAGAAGGAAAATGAATAAAACCCTCAAACCAATAAACAGAAACACTGAAATGAAAGTTAAAAGCAAAACTAGACAAAACTTAAGTAATATTGAAAGATGTTGTGAATATCATTATCATGCACTAGAGTCCCACTCATCTCAAGATGTTTGAATGAGAGAAAGCACAGCACAAAAGGGAAAAATGTGAACCAACCCATCAACACCAGTTGTCAAAAAATTCAACTCACACAGGTTGGCTCACTGAATGAACAAAAATTAAGTCCACCTTGCTCAATCACCAGGAGGTGGGTTAAATAAGTGACTCATCATAATCAAAGAGAAAAAACATAAAAAAAATGAAATAATAATAATAGTAAAGCTCAACAAAATGTAAAAATACATGAAGTAAGCTTAGGAAGAGAGCAAAAAGGTAGACTTGGTACCCAATTACTTAGCTAGTTAAAGTAAGTTTGAAAGGTGATTTATAAATTATCACAATTCATCCGCAAACTTCACAATACATACTACACCAATAGTTTACCAACAAATTATGAACCAATAAATTTCCATACACAAATAGCACCAATCCAAGCTAGTCAAACCTTTTTCATATTCAGGGCTAAATGATCATGCTATGAGCAAAATATATGAAATCAAGGATCATAGGGAACAAAAAGATATAAATATAAAAGTTGTCGAAAGGAAGGACAGTGAATTCGGATAATAACAGAAAATAATTTTGGAACAGCAGTGTTAATGAAAGGAATCCTGCAGATCAATTTGGATAGAAGAAAAAGACAAGCTTATTCCAATAAAAGTATTAGCTAACATAAGATATACAGTATAATAAGTTTATGTTTAGTTCCACAATGAAACATTCAAAATCACAGTGAAATATCAGTAGTTAATGCAGAATTTTAGGTAAGTGTCTGCATGTTTAGTCTCACTTTGAAAAATTGATTCTGAAACTTTATCTAGAATTAATTTTGAGTTGAAACATCTTTAGTTGCTTATGCTCAACTTCTAATTTGCTCTCAATCAAAGAAAGCAGTAACAAATAATTACAAAGCAGAATCACTACAAGAATTTTACATATTAGCTATGACATATTCTGTAGCTATTTTATAACTAATCTCTCGCTGGTATGTTTTGCTACAGATTAGCTACAGAATAGCTATGGAATAGTCCGTAGCTAAATCCAAGTAGCTAATTAGATATAGATGTATTCTCTCTCAAACTTGTAGCAAATTTTGTCGCTAAACTGTCACTAAATCCCTCGCAAATTTAAATGATGAAATTTTGTTTATGTCTAGCTAATTTGATCTCCCAAAACTTGTAGCTAATCCGTAGCTAATCCCTCGTAATTTCACTCTCACTAATCCGTAGTTAATCTCTCGCAATTTTTCTCTCGCTAATCTGTAGCTAATCCCTCGCAATTTTTCTCTCGTTAATCCGTAGCTAATCCCTCGCAATTTTTCTCTCGCTAATCCGTAGCTAATCCCTCGCAATTTTTCTCTCGCCAATTCGTAGTTAATCCCTCGCAATTTTTCTCTAGCTAATCCCTCACAATTTTTCTCTCGCTAATCTGTAGCTAATCTCTGACAATTTATCTCTAGCTAATATGTGGTTAATGCCTCGCAATTATTTTCTCGTTAATCCGTAGTTAATCCTTTGCAATGTTTCTCTCATTATTTCATAGCTAATCCCTCACAATTTTTATCAAAATTTATAATATCAAATATTTAAGATTTAAATTATTACTCATATTCTTAGAAAAAGAAGACAAACTTATCAACTTTCAATATAAAAATATTGTTGAAACATAGTTAAAATGATGTTTCAAACAATTAAAACATAACAAAAATAATATTTCAACTAAAAAGTTTTGTATAACACAATTAAAAATAGAAACAAAGTTTAAAGTACGTTTTCATCATTGTTTCTTTAAGACAGATAATAAATCTTTCTTGAAAGACTGCATTTCTTCTTGCATTTGTTGTTGCATGAAAAAATGGTTAACCTACACGATAAACCCACAAAGGACTACATATATCTTTTCCACTATGAAAAGTTAGCCATCAACTACTCATGCAACTTCAGAATCTGATGACGAAGATGTGCTCATACTATCAGATGAAACATCAAGTAACTCATGTTCTTGAAGAAAAGACAAGTAACGTGAGTTTGTAACAGAAGGAACTTTAGATGATTTTGGATCTCCTTTCCTTGAAATTGTTAACTCATGCCCAGCCATCTTCGTATCAATTTTAGTGCCAACAGAATTGATTCCTTTCTTACCATCTGCAAAGCTTGACTGAAGCAAATTTATCTTCATTTTTGAATGAGTGTCATGATTAGTGTGAGTGCCACCAGAAGTCTGCGGGACCTGGGAAATCACTTCATTTTGTTTTTTCTTGGATGAGTTTGGAACCACTTCATTTTGTTTCTTTTTCGAAGAACTTGAAACCACTTCATTGTGATTTTTCTTTGATGAATTCAATATTTCCTGCAATTTGCGTCGTTTCCCTTTTGAGGATTCATTTGATGATGTCTGGAATATAGGTTCTTTCATATGCAAGTCTTGCAAAGGGAAGGTTGAACAACCAACATTTTCTGGATGTGGTTTTGATCTCTTGGAGGCAACAGAGGTCAGTGTTAGTCCGAGATACTCTTTGGCCCATTTATAGACTGCACTTAATTTCCCATCCAAAGCTTGACAAAGAACATTCAAATCACTGATCTCGTAACGATATAAGAGAATTCTGTTGCTCCAAGGGCAAGAACAAAAATGTTTTGCATGACCAAGACACGCAAACTTGTCATTTGAACATGAACACCCTACAACAGACAAGTGTAAATCATACAGGCAAATACTACATTCCCTTCTACAAGTGGCATAAAAATTTCCATCCATTCTTTTTGATACTAAAGAACTGGAAAGAAATTTCCTCTTCAAAATTTCACTCTGGATGCAGCCAACTTTGAACAGAAAACAAGAAATGAAGGAAAGGAGGGGGAGAAGGCCTTCAAAACTTTCTTATACTATTAATACGTAAAATGCATGCCTTTTTCGTGATTACAGTTTATGAAAATAAATAATTGAATACTCGTTAATCAATGGGGGTTTGAAGTTGATGATAAACAAGTTCTCAAAACCTAGGACATATGTAGCATATATCCAACGATTCATACGAGCATCCAGAATTGAGTGCATGCAGAGAGAAAAAAATAAAAGTGGGAGAAAAGAGTTACCAACGTTTCAAGTTTATGTCAAACAGTTAAGCATTAATAAATTTTTAAGCATTTCAATTTTTAAGCATTAATAAACAAAAAAGGGGAAGAGGACAATGTATCAATCACAACTCAAAACCTAGGACATACCTTCAATCATTTCAATTTTTAAGCATTAATAAACAAAAAAGGGGAAGAGGACAATGTATCAATCACAACTAAATTGGAAATTTTGAGAGTTTGTGTGTGATTGAGTTCTCCCTGATATCACATTAAATGATATTTTGTCTTTTATCAGTTAGATCTATTTTATAATTTAGGTAAAAATAATATAGGTAAAAACTTTTATCTACGTTAGTGATTTATGATGATAATAATCTAAACCAAACACTTCATGTACATTATTCGAACACGAGTTGAGAGATTATTCAGGAACATGTGCTATCATTCAGAGAGGTACCATATATATCCTTTTATCTCAGTTATCAATATTTTATTGAAGTAGAACAAAGCTATTACTCCAAACCTCATTTTGAGTGGACAAGTTCTCTCTCTATATCTCCCTCCCTGTTAGAAGCAGATCCTCTAACCACTAGTTCTCTGTGACCATTATCTAAAAGATGAAACGCATGGATATCTTCTGTGCTTCCCAAGCCTCAATAGCCATATGTCTCAGCATGGATCAAGCCTCATGCTCCTCTTCAAACACCATTCTACTTAGAGGCCGAGCTATTGACCGCCACAACCCCATTATCAATGACTCGAGAAGGAGCACTTCCAAATCTCTCACTGCCCCTTGTTCCTCCTCTCAGTCACCCATCAACCCAAAGTCTTACCATGAGCTCCGCAAGGCCAAGAAAAACTCTATTGCCAAAAATGCAACCAAGGGTCATGATAATCACAAGAAAAACACAGCAGAAAACATCGCTGAACATGTCACCAACTCTTCTAAACCAATTGATGGCATTGTGCGTAGGAGTTTGATTAAGCCACCTTCTGATTTAATCACTCCTCATGGCTCAACTAGATCTTTGCTCAGTGACTCGGTCTTATTGGATGCTTCATCACATTATGATCCAGTTTTGGCCTTATCTACTACGGTTAATAGCAAAATTTCTCAAGTTGCTCTTCAAGATGAAACCATTCCTGTTTCTAAACATTCCAGCTCTTCTCATTCATACTTATATATGATCTTGGTCCGTATAAGAATAAAGGGAGGAGAAAATTAAAGTATGTGTGCTTCCTCTTGTGAGCATCAACATCAGAGAGATTGAGAATTTAGCATAGATATTGGAAAGATTTCAAGTTGAATCTTTCCCTTTCAATTCAGAAACAAGGTCATTGAATCAAAATTTATATTGCAAATTGTTAGGATAATTTGTTAATCATGATTCATAAATCGTACAAGTGAAGAGAGTAGAATCACAAAAGTAACTGAAAACATCAGTGAGGAAAGTAGATTACACAATTTTTAGCCCTGTGAAAAGCAAATGTGTGAGATAAGAAGGACATTGGAGAAAATTATTGAGAGGATCTCATGGTAAACGATATTCTAAAAAAAAATCATGTCATTGGTGATATTCCTTTTCTTTTGCATTGGTGATATGGAATTGCATTGATTCATCCATGTATCATAATTTATGAGATCCATAGTCAAGTCATATCAAAGTCAAATCATGTCATTCAAATAGTGAAATGTAAGATTATCATACTATGTTAAATATATATATATATATATTCCCCCCTTTGCATTCCCCTGAAGATTTAGAAACAATGTAATTACAAATACTTAAGTTTCAACTGACAAGAGAGGTCATCTAACATGTTTTTGACTGTTAACTTCACCTAAAAACTGCTAATAGTACTGAATTTCATGCCCGTCAACCATAGAGATAAAACACAGTATGACAGTATGCGATGTGCCAATAAGTACTAATATGACCCAAGGACTTACCTCTGGTTCTCAATTATAGGTATGCGAGCAAGAACAAATTCACAGAGGAAATTACCATTATAAAATATGCTGAATTTTATCAAAAAGAAAGACGCAGAGGAAATTCCACTAAACAAACCCCTCTGCTTGTGAATTGTAATTGAAAAATTAAAATTGGATTAAATAAATTTAATTAACCATGATAATTACAGAGTAACCCACCGTAAGAGAGGTACATAGTAAATCAAATCAAATAAAAACACCCAGGGAACAGATAAACCCTATCGTTGTTGCTAGGTTACATGAAACCTAATCGTTGGACAACAGGGAACACACTCAGAAGTTGGAAATTACTAAATAGAATCGGAAGATTAACTTTTCTTTTACCATAGAAAGTCACAAACAAATCAAAACACAAATTGAAGTTTGCATAAAATACATAAGATTTCATAAAACACATATGTACCGGCAGCGACGCGGTAGGGCAGCGGCAACGACACGACAGCAGTGCGGTAGCAGGAGCGGCGGCAGCGGGAGCAGCGGCAACAAGAGCGGTGGCAGCGGCAGCGACAACGGCGGCAGCGGTAGCAAATGCAATCTAGGTCTGTTGAAAGTGAAAGAATGAGACGTAGGTAAAGAGGAAGGAAATTTTGGGAAAAAAAGAGATTAATTTAATATTTTTATTAAAAAATATATAAAATTGTTATAATTTTTAAAAAATATTTTTATTACTATATTAAAGATGTTTATATTTAAAATAATATTTAATTAAATAAATATTTTAATATAATAATTTTTTTATAAAGACTAATTTCTAAAAAAGTTATAAAAAATTATTTATAAAATTTTCTATTAATTTAAATTATTAAATACTTTCTACAAATTTAAATTTATAAAAAATTTACAAAAATTAAATTTAAATATTTATCAATTTTTTTAGATATTTTTTCAAAAAATTATAATTATTTTCAAATAATTTATATATATAATTAATATATTTATAATAAATTTGGTAAAAATAATTATTAAATAATTTTATAATTATTTTTTTTATAAATTTGTTACAATTTAACTATGATTGTATGTTATATAATTTAGCTAAGAAATAGCTTTAAAAAATAACATAGTTAATATTTATAGCTAAGGATTAGTGAGAAATTTTTTTCCTAACTAAATTATTTTTTTACTAAGTGAAGGAATAACTACAAAAATATTATTTTCTAGTTATTTTACTAAAAATTAACTACAACTTTATTCATTTACTATTCTATAGCAGAAAATTTTTCTAGCTAATTGAAAAATTTCTTGAGGTGAATATTCACACATGAAAAAAAAAACTAGAAATCCACACAAACATGTAATATCAAGAACAGAACAAACATAGTCATTGAAAAAGCATAAATGCCCTCACTCACCTAAACCCAAAAAAAAAAAAAAAACCGTGGAAAGAAGCACACACTGATGACGTTGGAGCACGGCGAAGGAATACACCGGAAGCCCACCACACAAACCTGCAGCTTTCGCTAAATTCGCAGATTAAACTAATCAAAATCAACTGATGAGTTAAACTCGATCAGCCAATTCCATATGTACCAATCTGCCAAACCTAGATGTTTAGCCCCTTGGATGAATGAAAGGGAAAGAAGGAGAGAGAGAGGGGCACGACACATATGAAATGTAAAAGATAAATAAAAAATAAAAAGAAATTATTTTCGTATATTTACTTTTAATTTAATATTAAATTTAAGTCACAATTTTTGTAATTCAATTTTATAATTTATTTATTATAAAGTTGTTAAATAATTTTTATAAAATTGATTTCTAAAATTATTAAACATATTTTAATAAAAATTTTGAAATAAAGAGATATATTATAAGAGTTCCGATATTTTGACAACCCATTTTAAACATCCGTTCCACAACCGAATAAAAAAATATTAAATGCACAGTATTACGGAATAAAAAAATATTAAATATACAGTGTTTTTATTATTAAATAATTCATTCCCTTGACTCATCTCTCCTCCTTCTCTGATTCTCAATTTTCTAGCACAGAACTTTCTCATTCCTTCCTCGACCTCGACCTTCCTCACGCGGTTGTGAACTTGCCCAACTTGTCAGTCGAACTCACTCACCACTGCATTGTACAATTTTTCCGGCAACATCGTCAACGTGGTTCCGTTGTCATCAACCACGCCGTCATCCCCTCTGCGGTTCACCCTCGGCAGCATATTCGGTGCACCCTGAAATTATGAGAAAAAAAATTGGCATTTCAAATTTTAAATAATTTTTTTTTAAAATTGGGACTTTAGATAGCGGTTCTGGGAACCACTATCTAAATCTACTAAAGAGAGCGGTTCTAGAACTAACCGCTATTTTAAAAATATATTTTAGATAGCGGTTAACTTGGAGCTGCTATTATATGTTCACTTTTAAGAGCGGTCAAAATATTAACCGCTCTTAAAAGTGACACATATATGATAGCAGTTCCACTTTAACCGCTCTTAAAAGTGAATCAGATATCGCTCGAGCGAGACTAGTGTCGCTCAAGCGAAATACAACCCAAGAATCCCAATTTTTTGCAGGTGGTGTCGCTCGAGCGATGTAAATTTCGCTTGAGCGAATGTTGACCTGGGGTTAAACGTTGATCAAAGTTAGCCGCATAATGTAACATGGGTGACCACATGTTTGAATCAGATATCGCTCGAGCGATGTGAATTTCGCTTGAGCGATATTAGAAAAATCAGATAATATGATCGATTATTTTAGGTTATAATCGATTATACGTTATGATGATCAATTATAAGTGGTATATGATCGGTTATATTTTGCTAATGAAGTCAAATCCGTTATTAACAAAGTATTGGGTGTCAAGAACCTTTGGGGCTATCACCTCCTTCGTGGTCACAGTTTGGGTACTTGAAGAAGTCGCTTCTGAGTGGGTGCGCTTGGAGCTTTTTCTTTTGTCAACCATGGTTTATGTTTACGACTATTGAGATAGTCAACAGTGAACAAAAACAGAGAACAGAGAATTTGCGAGTAATTAGAAAGCAAAGAATACATTAACCTCGATGGTTGCTGTATGCTTCTTCTTTACAATGCAAACGAAATCAAACAAGATGAACCATCAAATTAAAATTCAAAACCGAAATCAACAACCATATTAAACCCTAAACCAAATGAACAGAACCCAAAATTAAACATAGACGAACCAGAGCCGGGAGAGAATGAACGCCGGGAGAGAACGAATGTTTCTTTTGCGTGTGCCGGCGAGAGAGATGCAGAGCGAAATTATGTAAAACTATAATCGCTTAGCACAAACTATGATCGATGTTCTCCAACTATAATCGATCATTCTCAATTATAATCGGTTATCGAAAATTATGATCGATTATTAAGCAACTATAGTCGATCACTTTGACATATATGACTTTAGATAGCGGTTATTTGGCAAACCGCTATGTAAACTACATTTATTATAGCGTTCCAAGGGTCAACCGCTCTTTAAAAATATGATATAAGGGAGCGGTTATAAAAATATCGCTATTATAAACATACATTAGACAGCGGTTTATAGTTAACCGCTATCTAATATATATTTTTCAAAGCGGTTCTTAGTAACGGCTATCTAAGGTTTGTGGTCTGTGGTTCAATAGTCGCTCAAGCGAGGATGACATCGCTTGAGCGATGGAACCTTAACCAATGGGGACCCTTGGGTTCTGTCTCGCTCAAGCGACGTTATGAACGCTTGAGCGACAAGTGATTCTAATATGTGGTGAACCAAGTTATATTATTTGGCTAACTGCGTTTGACGTTTCGTCATTGGGTCTACACTCGCTCAAGCGACCATGTACTCGCTTGAGCGACAAGTGATTCTTATATGTGGTCAACCAAGTTATATTATATGGCTAACTGCATTGGACGTTTCCTCAGTAGGTCAACAGTCGCTCAAGCGAGGAAGTCGTCGCTCGAGCGACGATACCTTCAAACAATGGAGACTCTCGGGTTCTGCCTCGCTCAAGCGACGTTATAATCGCTCGAGCGACAAGTGATTCGAATATGTGGTGACCCATGTCATATTATGTGGCTAGCGTTGGACGTTTCGTCTACGGCCAACACTCGCTCAAGCGAGAAATCCATCGCTTGAGCGTGATACCCTTACAAAAAATAGGAACTCTCGGGTAGTTTCTCGCTCAAGCGACGTTATTCTCGGTCGAGCGGCAAGTGATTCAAATATGTGGTTATCCATGTTACAGTATGTGGCTAACTGCATTGGACATTTCGTCTGTGGCCAAG